CTCGCAGAGTTCTCTCCTCCATCGGACACTTTGAGGAGTTTGAGCCAAAATGGAGTACAAGCTGATCGTGGCGGTCTCCAGCTTCCCGAGTCTGTACGACCCGAGCTGCCCGACCTACAGAGACCTGAACACGAGGAGCGACTCGTGGAGACAAGTGTCGCAGCTCGTCGGTGTCCCCGGTGAGAGTTTCCGGTTCTGTGCTGCTTCATAAACAGTCCGTGCTAACACCAACACAGAGTTTATCTCATGAGGCTTCACGTGAGACGGCGTTAGAACATTTTACTCTTCTAGTCTTGACGGAATCCGTTCTTAAAGATCAAAACAAAGCAGGTCCGTCCCTAAATACAGTCCGATTTCTGGCGACACCCTCGTCCTGCGCACATTGGTTCCACCTGAGGATGTAACTGTTTGGAAAGCCGCTGTTATAATTATATTTTAATTTATATATTTTTAATTTCACATTTCCTAAACAAACACACCGTACACGCTTTGTTTTTTCCCTCAGGTTTTTTTGTTGTTGTTTTGTTTTCATTCCTGTTTTCTCTCTGTGTGCCTGTAAAATTGTCCTCCCCGTTTTGTCCTTTGTGTCACTATTTGTTTTTGTTATTTCACGAATAAAAGGAAAGAAATTAAATTAAAGATAATAATTTCACATTTCCATTTTTAAAAAGTACATCAACAACATCATTTCCCGAAATTCAACTGTTTGCATTTTTAAAAAAAAAAGTGCTGTGAGCATGATCCAGTTAATCTGGATTTATTCAGGTCTGGAATTAATCGTGATTAATCAATTGCTATTTTGTCGCTTAAGGCGCACCGTAGTTAAGAAATGTTTCCTACTTATTTGTGTAATTGAGACGTTTACCTTCATCTTTTGGGGGGTAAATTAAAGCAATAAAAGACCCAATACCGGGTGCCCAGGACTTCTACTTTTGTTGCCATGGTAACACATATATGCATCAAATCAAGGTTTTTATTTTCTGGTTCGGTGATGACCAGAAGCTTTATTCTGAAGCGGGGTTATTTCCTCTCCTCCATCAGAGCCGGAGTGCAGGAGGAAGTGGAAGATGCTGCGGGACCAGCACAGGAGGGAGAGGCTGCGGGAGAAGGACAGACGGGAGAGCGGCATCGGCCTCCTGAACTACAGGCCGTGGAGGTATTCAGCCATCCTGTCCTTCTTGAACCCGTTTATCGACGCCAGGGCGGCGGGGACCAACGGCTGGGCTCTGGACCCGCAGCCCTACTTCCAGGCGTCTGAGGTGGTGGGCTGCAGCACGACCAGCGAGGCGCGCAGCGACGACGACGACAATTACGGTTAGTAGATGTAGATTTAACCTTCAGAGAACACGGGAGAGAGTTATTTCTGGCGTTTGGAGGGAAATGTAACGACGTGATATTTGTCTTTCTAGGTTTCGCTGTAGCGTACGCCACAACAACAACGACATCGTCCTCCTCCTCCTCAGAGTTCGTTCAGAGGAAGCGGCCATCTTCTGCCAACAGAGACACCGCCAGACTCAAAGAGGCGAAGGTCGAGGTGACCTCTGACCCCGCTGCTACAGACGACGGCGTGCAAACGCAACAAGCGCAGCAGGCTAACATGAGGGAGCTGTTTGAGACCATCATGCACTCGGTGACATCATTAGCCACGTCCCTCGCGTCCTCACAGTCGTCCTCGCAGCTCTCAGATCAGCTGACGCCTCCGTCCCCCTCGGCCGTGCAGCCTGATCTGCAGACGTCCCGCAACCCGCCGCCGCAGCCGCCGTCCAGGCTCCACCAGCTGAAGACGGAGGAGCAGCAGGAGGTCATGGAGGCGGAGCTTCTAGACCAAACGGACGGAGAGGAGGAGGAGTTTCACACGGCGGCGTCTCCGAGGCCGACCCGCGTCTGGAGGAGGAGGAGGAGCACGGAGGAGAGCCTGCTGGAGGAGCACCTGAGGAGGACGGAGGCCCGGGAGGCTCAGAGAGAGCGGACGCGGAGAAGAGGGACGACGTGACGCTTTTTACTCAGCCTGGCGCCGGCCATGAGGAGACTCACCGCCGAGAAACAGTCGTGCTCCGGACGAAGATTCAGCAGTTTGTGCACGAGGCCGAGTTTGGTGCTGCGGACTTTCAGTGATCCTCATTTGAAAAACTCTTATATGTAATGCCAGGATGAGCCTGCAGGGGCCGCTAGAACAAAGCCTTACAGAGACTCTCTTCTCCCAGCACTGGAGAGCAGCCCTCCCCCTGGCAGCCCTGCAGCATTCTGCCCCTCCTCCAGAAGGCTTCCAGTGAGCCGACCAATCAGAAGAAAGTGGGCATGTGGGGAGGCGGGACTTAAAGAGACAGCAGCTGGAGGTTTTTTGAGCTGCAGATCTCGTGAAGCTGCTCTGAAGGTTTCACAGACTGAAAGATGAAGATGACATATTTTAACTTTTTTTATAAATACTGTATGCATTACATGATAATCTGATTTAAGTAGGATGCTACGATACCTCACAATTCAAATATGGACACTTAAATGGATAAAAAAAGATGCCAACGTTGGGTCATTTATTGTTTTCAGTTATCATAAATGTAAAATCTTTGGTATCTAATATCGTTAACAGATGTGTGGAATTTGCCATCAAAAAAGTTATTTTTGATGGATTCATTCCTCTGTCCAATGAAATTGAGTTTTTTCAAGTGTCTCCACTTTTCAATACTATTGATCATTAAAGGAGACATATTCTGAAGAATCCACTTCTTCAGTGTTTCTGAACATGTATCTGGGTAACCTGAGAGTCTACTGACCCACAACATGTGAAATAAACCATCCAGTCCTTTGTTTGTGGTCTGCATAAGTCTTACAACACAGAGAAAAATGCTCTGTTTCAAATGTGCTCTCCTGAATTGGTCAATTCAGAAAAAAAATGGAAGTGTTCACAGAAATGTCCGACTTTAATACAGACCTTTGACTCAAACGGGTAACTATACTCATTCTTCCTCAGTTTGCTGGTTTATAACTGCCCTGCTCCTACTTGATGTGTGTATAACTACCTCCCTTTACGGGTTGTATTTGTCACATCTGCATGTAGATGACAGTACTCAACGTTAAAGACTGTTACAGGAGTTGTTACGACAGCGTTATGTTTACGGCACTAGACTGCTTTACGACAGGCAGAACATGCTTTTGCACTGCGTTATTTTCTCTCCTGAAAATGGAGCTGTATGTTGATCACCTACAATAAACCTGTGTGGTAAAAGTAACTCGACCCTCGATCATTCTTGTAAAAAAACAATATTCAAGTTTTGTACCTCCTTATACTGAGAGTATACTTTACTTGATGTTTATATTCAACCCTGCTTTTATTTTGAAATAAAGTGAGTGTGACACCTTTTCTAAAATCTGAAAGGAGAAGTGTTTTTAAAAGAGAAATGTTCTCTGTTGTAAACAAGTATCTCTCTCAAACCGCTCCTCTTCCTGGAATGAATCGTAGTTCGATCAGCCCTCCCTCTTCTTCCTGCTCTCAAACACAGCCTGCTGCACTCTGTCCTCATACTTCCTGGTTCCCTCCCCTTTAGATCTACAGTTTGAGGATGGGTGTAACCAACAAGAGCTGCACAGTCACATGCACAGACACATGCTTTGTAGATCAGAGGTGAAACTTGTTTTCAGTTATGAGGAAGTGAAACTCAGACAGTCGTTGTTACCGAGAGGAGAAATGGCGCAGAAAGGAGTTCAGCTGGACCGGGAAACCTTCTCTTGTTCGATCTGTCTGGATCTCCTGAAGGATCCGGGGACTCTTACCTGTGGACACAGCTACTGCATGAAGTGTATTAAAAGCCACTGGGATACAGAGGATGAGAAGACAGTCTACAGCTGCCCTCAGTGTAGACAGACCTTCACAGCGAGGCCTGACCTGAGGAAAAACACCATGTTGGCAGATTTAGTGGAGGAGCTGAAGAAGACTGGACTCCAAGCTGCTCCTGCTGATCACTGCTATGCTGGATCTGAAGATGTGGCCTGTGATGTCTGCACCGGGAGAAAACTGAAAGCCTGTAAGTCCTGTCTGCAGTGTCTGGCCTCTTACTGTGAGAAACACCTCCAGCCTCATTATGATTCACCTGCCTATACAAAACACAAGCTGGTGGAGCCCTCCAAGAAGCTCCAGGAGAACGTCTGCTCTCGTCATGATGAGGTGATGAAGATGTTCTGTCGCACTGATCAGCAGTCTATCTGTTATCTCTGCTCTGTGGACGAACACAAAGGTCATGACACAGTCTCAGCTGCAGCAGAAAGGAGCGAGAAGCAGAGAGAGCTGGAGGTGAGTCGACAAAACATCCAGCAGAGAATCCAGGACAGAGAGAAAGATGTGAAGCTGCTCCAACAGGAGGTGGAGGCTATCAATGGCTCCGCTGATAAAACAGTGGGGAACAGTGAGAAGATGTTCACTGAGCTGATCCGTCTCATGGAGAAAAGACGCTCTGATGTGAAGCAGCAGGTCAGATCCCAGCAGCAAACTGAAGTGAGTCGAGTCAGAGAGCTTCAGGAGAAGCTGGAGCAGGAGATCACTGAGCTGAAGAGGAGAGACGCTGAGATGAAGAAGCTGTCACACACACAGGACCACAACCAGTTTCTACACGACTACCCCTCACTGTCACCACTCAGTGAATCTACACACTCATCCAGCATCAAGATCCGTCCTCTGAGGTACTTTGAGGACGTGACAGCGGCTGTGTCAGAAGTCAGAGATAAACTACAGGACGTCCTGAGAGAGAAATGGACAAACATCTCACAGACAGTGACTGAAGTGGATGTTTTACTGTCAGAACCAGAGCCCAAGACCAGAGCTGAGTTCTTAAAATATTCATGTGACATCACACTGGATCCAAACACAGCACACACAAAGCTGTTATTATCAGATGGGAACAGAAAAGTAAGATTTACGAGAGAGACCCATCCTTATTCTAGTCACCCAGACAGATTCACTGGAAGGGAGCAGTCCTGAGTAAAGAGAGTCTGACTGGACGTTTTTACTGGGAAGTCGAGCAGAGAGGAAGACGAGTTTCTGTAGCAGTCACATACAAGAATATCAGCAGAGCAGGGAGTTCGAATGAGTGTAGATTTGGACGTAATGACAAATCTTGGGCGTTATATTGTTTCAACAACAGTTATAACTTTTGTACAACAATGTCAACACTCCTGTCTCAGGTCCTCAGTCCTCCAGAGTAGGAGTGTACCTGGATCACAGAGCAGGTATTCTGTCCTTCTACAGCATCTCTGAAACCATGACTCTCCTCCACAGAGTCCAGACCACATTCACTCAGCCTCTACATGCTGGACTCAGGTTTTATTATGTTGGAGACTCTGCTGAGTTGTGTAAACTGAAATAGACAGAAGTCATTAATGAGACAGATGTTTAACTTGCTGTGTTTTAAATCTTCAACTTGATTTTTATCCACGCTCGTTGCTGAGATCTGATCGTAGTCACCTGTCAATCAAACTTTATGGGCGGTACTTTGACCTCTTCTCGTCTGTTCTGTAATGTTTGAGTGTCTTTAAGTGACACTCCTTCCTGTGTCTGTTTAGCCGTGGACTCTTTCACTGCTCAGGATGACTTTTGTTCACCTGAACTGACATTTCTCTGAGTGATAAATATCAACTTCTCTCTGCTCTCCATGTTTGATTATTTGTTTTCATACATTTATATTTTCTGTTGTTTCTGTTCTGATTCAGGAGTCTGAAGAGAGAGAGAGAGAGAGAGCAGCAAACTTTTCTTTCATGCTGATTTTCTCTTCTCACCACTTTGTACATTTGTAGAAAATCTATAAAATCACACTTAAAGAAATGAGTTAGTCAGAATAAATGTTGTTGTTCATATTCAAAGTGATGTAAAAATGTCCTCTGAGGTGTTTTAAAAATGTAATCCTCCTGATTAAATCAATAAGGAGATAAATCATTGTTTTCTGTGAGTGGAGATTCTGATCAAACAAAGTGATTGTGTGGATGAAGTGAATGTGTTCATGAAATGATTGAACACACTTTACTGATTTGATGTGTGAACAAACTGAAGTTTGACATCCTGAATAAACTCACATGAACTAAATGTTTTCTTCTGGTCTTCATTGCAAACAATGGAAGCCCATTTCAGCCAGTTAAAAAAATATAAATGAAAACTTGACTTCTTTGAGAATCTTTTTTTTGCTCATAAATCGAAATCATGAGGTTAAAAGTCAAAACATTTAAAGGGGACATATTCTGAAAAATCCACTTCTACAGTGTTTCTGAACATATCTTTGGGTAACCTGAGAGTCTACTGACCCAAAACATGTGAAATAAACCCATCCAGTCCTTTGTTTGTGGTCTGCATAAGTCTTACAACACAGCATTGCATTTAAAGAGACACACACACCAAAACGGAGCGTTCTGAGAGAGTTGGTTTCTACAGGGTCACAAACCTCCTCTGGTGCTTGATTCATGTTATATTTTGACCAAAGCACAGCACAGATGTTTCATTTAGACCACAAGGGACTGTTTGAAAAGGTGGAGGAGGACTGTTTGAAAAGGTGGAGGAGGGGGACTGTTTGAAAAGGTGGAGGAGGAGGACTGTTTGAAAAGGTGGAGGAGGGGGGCTGTTTGAAAAGGTGGAGGAGGGGACTGTTTGAAAAGGTGGAGGAGGGGACTGTTTGAAAAGGTGGAGGAGGAGGGGACTGTTTAAAAAGGTGGAGGAGGACTGTTTGAAAAGGTGGAGGAGGACTGTTTAAAAAGGTGGAGGAGGGGACTGTTTGAAAAGGTGGAGGAGGGGACTGTTTGAAAAGGTGGAGGAGGGGACTGTTTAAAAGGTGGAGGAGGAGGGGACTGTTTGAAAAGGTGGAGGAGGGGACTGTTTGAAAAGGTGGAGGAGGACTGTTTGAAAAGGTGGAGGAGGGGGACTGTTTTAAAAGGTGGAGGAGGACTGTTTGAAAAGGTGGAGGAGGAGGGGACTGTTTTAAAAGGTGGAGGAGGAGGGGACTGTTTTAAAAGGTGGAGGAGGGGACTGTTTGAAAAGGTGGAGGAGGAGGAGGACTGTTTGAAAAGGTGGAGGAGGAGGAGGAGGACTCTTTGAAAAGGTGGAGGAGGAGGGGACTGTTTGAAAAGGTGGAGGAGGAGGGGACTGTTTGAAAAGGTGGAGGAGGAGGACTGTTTGAAAAGGTGGAGGACTGTTTGAAAAGATGGAGGAGGAGGACTGTTTGAAAAGATGGAGGAGGAGGACTATTTGAAAAGGTGGAGGAGGGGACTGTTTGAAAAGATGGAGGAGGAGGACTGTTTGAAAAGGTGGAGGAGGGGACTGTTTGAAAAGGTGGAGGAGGAGGGGACTGTTTGAAAAGGTGGAGGAGGACTGTTTGAAAAGGTGGAGGAGGGACTGTTTGAAAAGGTGGAGGAGGAGGGGACTGTTTGAAAAGGTGGAGGAGGACTGTTTGAAAAGGTGGAGGAGGGGACTGTTTGAAAAGGTGGAGGAGGAGGGGACTGTTTGAAAAGGTGGAGGAGGACTGTTTGAAAAGGTGGAGGAGGGGACTGTTTGAAAAGGTGGAGGAGGAGGGGACTGTTTGAAAAGGTGGAGGAGGACTGTTTGAAAAGGTGGAGGAGGAGGGGACTGTTTGAAAAGATGGAGGAGGAGGAGGACTGTTTGAAAAGGTGGAGGAGGAGGAGGACTGTTTGAAAAGGTGGAGGAGGACTGTTTGAAAAGGTGGAGGAGGAGGGGACTGTTTGAAAAGATGGAGGAGGACTGTTTGAAAAGTTGGAGGAGGAGGGGACTGTTTGAAAAGGTGGAGGAGGACTGTTTGAAAAGGTGGAGGAGGAGGATCATATGTCCCCTTTAAAATAATGCAGACTGCATCGTCATGGTGTTGAAAAGCATCCGGGATTGGAAAAGGTTGTCAAATTAATATATATATTGCAGTGCTATTTTTTAACCAGCAGAGGGCGCTGTCTGCTTTTGGCATATCTTGTTCAACGTCAGTAGTTGAAGAAGAGTTGCATTATTATGAGAGCAACTTTACAGCCCTGAAGTTAAAAAACAGTATTACACTAGAAGGGACCATCGAACCACAGCAGCAACAGAACACAAATAATATTTTACATTACATACAGAAATTAAAGAATCATATTTATTCTGAAAGGAAGAATGATCGACATGTTCCTCATGAATAAATCATAAAGTCTGTCCTGTGTAAATGTGTCTCTGAGTCCTGACTGTCTACAATGAGGGAGAAGCTCGAGTCCCGCTGGCTGTGTTGTTGTCAGAGCCGTGTTTACATGGACGGGACGGCCGGCTCCTCCCCTTGTGTATAAAAGCTGTTTTAGTCAAGAACTAGAGAGAAGAAGAACATACTCACTGATTATTTGGATGTTAGTAAGAGTTTTTAGATCATTCTGTGTCAGTTTACATGAAATGTGAAGCTACGAGCTAACTAAAGAGCGCTAACATTAGCATGCTAACACAACAATGTGAAGCTACGAGCTAACTAAAGAGCGCTAACATTAGCATGCTAACACAACAATGTGAAGCTACGAGCTAACTAAAGAGCGCTAACATTAGCATGCTAACACAACAATGTGAAGCTATGAGCTAACTAAAGAGCGCTAACATTAGCATGCTAACACAACAATGTGAAGCTATGAGCTAACTAAAGAGCGCTAACATTAGCATGCTAACACAACAATGTGAAGCTACGAGCTAACTAAAGAGCGCTAACATTAGCATGCTAACACAACAATGTGAAGCTACGAGCTGACTAAAGAGCGCTAACATTAGCATGCTAACACAAAAATGTGAAGCTACGAGCTAACTAAAGAGCGCTAACATTAGCATGCTAACACAACAATGTGAAGCTACGAGCTAACTAAAGAGCGCTAACATTAGCATGCTAACACAACAATTCAGGACACAGCTGATGTGAAGCTACGAGCTAACTAAAGAGCGCTAACATTAGCATGCTAACACGACAATGTGAAGCTACGAGCTGACTAAAGAGCGCTAACATTAGCATGCTAACACAACAATGTGAAGCTACGAGCTGACTAAAGAGCGCTAACATTAGCATGCTAACACAACAATGTGAAGCTACGAGCTAACTAAAGAGCACTAACATTAGCATGCTAACACAACAATGTGAAGCTACGAGCTGACTAAAGAGCGCTAACATTAGCATGCTAACACAACAATGTGAAGCTACGAGCTAACTAAAGAGCGCTAACATTAGCATGCTAACACAACAATGTGAAGCTACGAGCTAACTAAAGAGCGCTAACATTAGCATGCTAACACAACAATGCAGGACACAGCTGGTGTGAAGCTATGAGCTAACTTAAGAGCGCTAACATTAGCATGCTAACACAACAATGCAGGACACAGCTAATGTGAAGCTACGAGCTAACAAAAGAGCGCTAACATTAGCATGCTAACACAACAATGTGAAGCTACGAGCTAACTAAAGAGCGCTAACATTAGCATGCTAACACAACAATGTGAAGCTACGAGCGCTAACATTAGCATGCTAACACAACAATGCAGGACACAGCTAATGTAAAGCTACGAGCTGACTAAAGAGCGCTAACATTAGCATGCTAACACAACAATGTGAAGCTGCGAGCTAACTAAAGAGCGCTAACATTAGCATGCTAACACAACAATGTGAAGCTACGAGCTGACTAAAGAGCGCTAACATTAGCATGCTAACACAACAATGTGAAGCTACGAGCTAACTAAAGAGCGCTAACATTAGCATGCTAACACAGCAATGTGAAGCTACGAGCTGACTAAAGAGCGCTAACATTAGCATGCTAACACAACAATGTGAAGCTACGAGCTAACTAAAGAGTGCTAACATTAGCATGCTAACACAACAATGCAGGACACAGCTGGTGTGAAGCTATGAGCTAACTTAAGAGCGCTAACATTAGCATGCTAACACAACAATGTGAAGCTACGAGCTAACTAAAGAGCGCTAACATTAGCATGCTAACACAACAATGTGAAGCTATGAGCGCTAACATTAGCATGCTAACACAACAATGCAGGACACAGCTAATGTAAAGCTACGAGCTAACTAAAGAGCGCTAACATTAGCATGCTAACACAACAATGTGAAGCTACGAGCTAACTAAAGAGCGCTAACATTAGCATGCTAACACAACAATGTGAAGCTACGAGCTAACTAAAGAGCGCTAACATTAGCATGCTAACACAACAATGTGAAGCTACGAGCTGACTAAAGAGCACTAACATTAGCATGCTAACACAACAATGTGAAGCTACGAGCTAACTAAAGAGCGCTAACATTAGCATGCTAACACAACAATGTGAAGCTACGAGCTAACTAAAGAGCGCTAACATTAGCATGCTAACACAACAATGCAGGACACAGCTGATTGCAGCTTAAGCCGAGGGCGATTCCGTACGCTGCTTGCTCTTGATTACTTCCTCTGTGAACGTGAGTGGAGGGGGGTTGGAGGTGTGTCTCTGGAGGAGAGTGGAGGCTTCAGGATGGAGGAGGCGTGGCCTAACAGCAGTTTGTTTTGGTTTCATGCTGGAGCTCAAAGGCGACATCTACTGGATCAAAAAGTCTCACATTCTGCCTTTAACTTGACTTCCTAAAATTGGGAAAATCATGGAGTACGATGTTAAACTGTATCCTGATACAAATCATATCATGAGTTTAAGTATCTTTACATCCTTAACTTTAACTTCAGACTTCTTTCCATTTATATAAAACTATCAAAACCTCGTCTTTCTCACGTTTTTGTGCTTTTTCAATAAAATCCTCTGGTAAAATACTTTTGTTTTTGTTTTTGTTTTTATATGTCAAATATTCATCAAAGTGAACGCAGCGTCATTCTTTATGTTCAGAAAAAGTCCACATGTTGTCCGTCTGTCCGTTTGTTTTGACCATCTGTTGATGTGAACTGTACGACATGAGATAAAATATAATGCCAGACTGTAGATTTGTATTATTTTACATTTTAACACAAGTGATTATATCTTATTTACACCAGAGTGAATAAATAAGAAGTACTGTTGAAAAAAAACCCCTCAATATATGATTTTTAGGAATATAAAAACAGATTTTGCCAATAAAAAAAAAGATGATTTTAGAAACATAAACGGTAATAATAGCACCGGATGTTTATTATATTTTATAAATACTTATAATAATTTTTGTTGATCAAAAAACCTTTCATATATCAATAAAAATGGTCACAATCAGCGCTGGTGTTGATTTTATGTCGAGGACACTCCGCCACCTATGGAAGTCTCGCGAGATTTACAACTCTACAACGGCCGTCATCCGGGTAGTTTGGACAGCGGGATCAAAACACGGAAGTGGGTGCAGTGTGAAGTTGTCAGTGGACTCGAGGAGCTGTCGGACCGTCGAAATGAACAATATTATATTATATTAAACAGTTCTGAACATTTATTAGTTTTTTATTAACGCGTCGACGTGACGTCAGAGTCTGAAAGAAGCCGTGGTTAAAGTGTGAGTACTGACGAGCTGTTGTTAAATAAATATATTAAAGTCCAACATGTTATGAAAACGTTAATTTAACTACTACACTAATATTATGAAGCCCTCTAATACATGTTTCTGTTCTATTAAAAAGAACACTAACTAGGGAACTATAAAACTTAAATAATGTTTAATTATTTAAATAAAACCCATAGTGTCTTCAGTTTATTACACCTATCACAGATTTTCAAAATAAAATGACTTAATTATCAAATTGTTCTGATGCAGTTTGTAAAGTTTACCTCTAATTTTCTCTCAAAGTAAACTGTAAAATCATCTTCAAATGTACCACAGCCAGGGACATGAGTTTCTTGTTGTCTATTAAAATGAAAAAATGAAAAATAAATGTCAAATATGTATTTTAAAAGTGTTTAAGTCGAATTTGTGCAGGTTATCCCTTTAATCTTCTGAGTTATTAAACGTGAAAACCCTTTTTCCAATTCAAATGTTCTTATAAAACAGAAATAAACAACAGAAGTTGACCAATGTGCTGCACATTAAAGAGTCTGAGGGACGAGAGTTGAATATAAGAATCAGCTGTGAAGTCTCTGTGCTGCACATCAGCTTCATGCTTTGTTTTAGATGTAAAATGTAAAATATAAATCAATTATTATTTCAGGTTATTCATGATTTTCTAACTGACACATGCTAAAAGGAAAACAAATAGAAGGTTTTAATAAATTGACATTTCTGCCGTTTTTCAAATGAACCGTAATACTAACAGTACTGTCGTGGTGAAGAGGGAGCTGAGCCGCACCAATCAAAGCTCTCGATTTACCGCTCTATCTTCGTTCCAAGCCTCACCTGTGGCCATGAGCTTTGGGTAGGGTCCAAAAGAATTCAAAACTTTTATTTTAACTCGAAAGCCACTGAAGGTTTCCCTCGTTTACAGTGACTTCGAGCTCACAACATTAAAGCGAGTAGAAAAGGAAGAAAATCAGCTGAAAAGAAAACAGTTACATATCCAGAAAAACAGATAAGAAGAGTTACTAA